AATAGAATCATATATCTAAATGAAAATATTAGTAAAATACAAAAAATTCTATTCAATTTTCTACCGGATCATATCTTGTCGATAAATTCCATATAGACAGTGTTTTTTTTGAAGAGAAAGAAGAAAATTATCGGTATATTTTAGAAGATTATTAAGAAAATTTGAATAGATTGAATCAAGTTTTAAATTTTGTTTATAAAGAAATTTAAGAAATTGTTCACCTTGATTAAGTCGATCAATAATTGCATATGGATTAATAAATACATATTTATTTGTTGTTGATATTTGTCGATGATTTTTATTAAGTATAGGTGAATAAATATAACAAGTTTGAGTATCTTTAGATTCATTTATTTGTGATATTTGTGTTTGTTCATCTGTACAAGTATTTGTTGAATTTTGACATTGAGTTGAAACTTCAGTCGATAATTTTTCTATTGATTCATTTTTAGTTTTATACATACAGTTTTTATGACAAGTTTTAAGTATTGTTTGTGGATCAATAATTGATTTACGTTGTAATAATGAAAAAAGTGAAGATTCATTATTTGATATCATCTGGATGATTTATATTGGCGCTGATCTAGATATAATTAAATCTGTAATATCAAGTGTTTCCAAGCGTAATGTCATTTTCTAGTCGAACATGATCATATGATAAATTCCAGGAAAATATTTGTTCAAACGCGCGATGAATATATTAAGATTGGACTGGTACTATTCGTTTTTCGATTTTGAACAGGAAATTTAGTTCGTTACAGAAAGCGTCGTAATAACACGATTTTGACTATTCACTTTATTTTTTTTTACATTTCAAGGTAATTAAAACGCAAATAGCATGAAAACTTAACCATAAATTTCTATAAACAAATCATTTCAATCTTTTAACTCTTTATATCATATTATGATTACTAATGTTAATTAGGTTTTATTGTAAAATTCATCTAACTTTATTGCAGCTTTGTATTTTAAACAATTAAGAATCACAGGGGTAGGTGTGGGTGTAGATATGGATGCAGATGAAGAGAAGATGTATCTACGGATCCGACCACATCCACCCATCCTCAATCGGATGCGCATGATCGAGGTTATCTTTAAGAACCACTATTAAACGATATTAAACTTATTGTAAATAATTCATTTTAGTTTCTAAATGATCATGATATGCATTCCTTTCTATTAACAAAGCCATTTTCTTTGCCACCAAATTTTACATTTCATTCTTTCATTTACTGAGAAGAACTTTATATTAATTCTAGGAAGATAACGATTTAGTTTATCTTTGTAAAATAAATGTAAAGATTTTATTTCTTTATCTTTCTTTTTAAAATAAAGAGTTCTTTATTCTTTATTATAAAGTAAAATAAAGATAAAATAACACCTCTACTTGTAGATGATGTGCTATTTGCAAAAACAGAAGAAAAAAAAGTGACGTTTTTTAGGCTATTAGCGCGATTTTATCTTTTACATGCATAGTGTTACCTTTTAAAGCATCTTTGTTGCATAGTATAACACAATATTCAAATTTCGTTGAATTTTAGATCAAACGAACAAATACACATATGGCTACAACCACTGCTATTAATCATCGTCTTCTGGAAAGTATTCGTGATGAACCTAAGAGGATGCTAGTACCAATATATGGCTATGAAGAAGTAACTGTTAAATCTCTCGAAGATGCATGTGAACCAATAAAAGACTTACTTGATCACCAATTGAAGCAATATATAACCGTAGCGAAAATGAATTCCTCGGATCCCGAAGATAAACTCACCCAAGATGAGTCAGCGTCTATTCATCTTTATACTATGGAATGGGGAAAACGTGATAATAGTTTGTATATGAAGCTTAATCAAACACTTCGCTTGGCTGATCGTTCGAAATTAACACCTTGGTTTAAATACTTAAAATTGTTTTTAACAGCATTTTTCAAATTGCCGTATGTAAAACTACATGTATTATTGCAATTCATGATTTCTTCCTATATTTTAGACCAAGTAAAGACACATTAGTTTGGCGTGGTGTTCGTGAAGATCTTAGTGCACTTTATCCAAAGGGTAAAGAATTTGCTTGGTGGGCGTTTAGTTCTTGCACTTCTTCGATAGATGTGCTCGAAGCTCTGAATTATTTAGGAAAATCGGGCACAAGAACAATGTTTTCTATTCAAACTAATAGTGGAAAGCTCATTCGTGCACATTCATATTTTGATAATGAAGATGAAATACTCTTACCACCAGGTATATATCTTAAAGTAGTTGGCAGTTTGAGTTCAGCCGATGGCCTACACATTATTCATCTTCAAGAAATCGAGCCACCGCATAAAATGCTTGCAGATCCTTTCGATATGAGCAAGCTAAAGCATGCTTTGCCTACAACGAAACAACCATCTTTTGAAGAAGGTAAATTCATTGTTTTTTATTAGATATGAGAAAGTCTTTATCAGGCATTTCTATCAAGTAGATCGCACAGTTTTACCGCAGGTTTAGTATTAAGCTTCGGAGTCTTGAGACCTAGATAAAGTTTTTTATTATCTTCCAAACAAGTGATATCGTCACATAAATCTTACGATTGCCAACATAACCAAATAAAAAAAGTTTCGAAAACGCAACATTCATATGAAGAACACTAAATTATGTAGCATTCGAACTAGGTTTTCTTTAAATTGATCTAAAAATAAATACACACGGAACTTGTTGTTTTTTAAAATATTTTCGGTTGTAAATAGATCAAAATTCACTTCTCCAACTTGATAGGTATCATCGATTTCTGTATAGGTTTGTAATCTTGATAGCTGAGTGTAGTGACAGTCAGCCCTTTTTTCTCAACTTATCACAAAGACTATAACTCTTTATTTAGAAAAGCTAGCAATCGTTGCACCAAATGAACAATCACCATATTCTGATAAGGAGCTTCGTAGGGGTTATACAGTTACTTATTGATCTTCAAAAAGTATATGAAATTAAAGACTTTTCTTTCAAGAGATTAGAGTAAATGAATACAATTTTTGTTCTGACTATTCATTATGAATATGGTCTTGATTTATTTGATTGGGACAAAGTAAACTGTTATCTAAAGAATAAGATAAACGAACAGACATTAAGGGACGTTTTGATGATTCATGTTCTATACTATTCTCAGTGATATTGTGAATTTGTAAGCTTCCTTGATATGAGACAATATACAGAAACAGAGTTATGCTTAATATTATTATCTTTTTATACAGCCTTTGACTCACTTGTTAACTGAAATACTTAGTCAACATTGAATAAAGGTTTTTGAATGCAATCCTTGTGCCAATTGTCATGGATCTTCAGCAAACGTATAATTCATTCTCGAGTAGTTAATTTAAATTTATTAAATGATCGTTCACAAAGTAAATGAATGAAATATTGGGGAATGCCGTTATCATCAATCATTTTTTATGTGATCTTGAATGAGCGAATCAATCTCGACGATTTATTGTCAGTTTATTGTTAAATATGAATTAAACCGTGATGATAGTACTTCACATGATATCTAATCTTGGCACAGTTGCTATGTGTGGAAGCCTCACCACCTTACTAATAATATAAGTGAATAGACAGATTGGTAACTAATCATTTAACTTTGATGCAATATTTGATGTATCGGTTGCTACAATATCTTTTATGTTCAGAGAAATAGAAAAAGCGAACAGGACTACTGGACAATATCTATTCACTTGCTATTTGGTCTATAATAGCTAACTATTTATTAAGCTTTGCTCCACGGTAAATACAATACATGAATACGTTTTTCTTTGCAAATGTTCATTTACAATGTATTCTTCAAGTACACGGTTGATGTATAAGTGCTAACCTATGAGAATTAAAATAACTGAATCAGAGAATGATGGTGATATACTTTATTCCTCAATTATGCAGTTTTTGTATCAGTGTGATTGGTTGAACTTCTAATTCGTTGGATTAACAGAAGTGAAGGATATTATTACAAATCGGTTGTCCATATGTTAGATGATATTCCATTTATGCGCCAGTTCAATCATTTTCTACATGAGTGAACAGGAAGACTGAATGACATTTGCATCATGAGTGGTCATTTCCTTTATCATCTGAATCAGCATGCATAGTCTCGTCATTTATTTGTAACCTACTGTAGTAGTCGAATAAAGATTTTATTAAAGTTATTCTTTTATCCTGTCATAAATGATCAAGTAAAGCATTGGTAAAAGTCATAGAAAATTATACAAATATTGGATATAAGTATACAAAAGTGCTTATCCATTTGTCGTACGATGTTTGATCAGACTGTGATGTCAAGAGTATTTTTTACCGTGGGCATGAAATGTAATTTGAACATGCGTTTTAACTATTCGGTAGTTATGTGGCGTAAGATCTGTTTATAGACGATGAACTATCAATATGAATGATGATGTAATCAAATAGAATGCTGATAGAAATTATTTATTTGATATGTAGTCATTGATACATCGGAGAATGAAACAACTTTGCTGTATTGTGAGTCATGCAGCTGAGCAAAACATTGATTATAAGTATTCATGAACTAAATAAACATTCATCGAATGATAGTGCATCCGTATTACTTCAAAGTAAGAGTAAATGATGAATAACATCTTGCAAAGTGCTATTTCGCACATTCAACTACTTTGCGTACTATTGTAGCTATTCAACTTCAAAGCTTTTCTTTTGAATGAGCCAGAGAGATCCACAGAATAGTTATAAGAAATATTCATTTGCCATGAGATGTTCAATGAGGTGATCAACTCACAAGCTTTTATTCAAAGTGAGCAGAAGAGATGAACAGAACATTACTTAGAAATATTCATTTGTCGTGTAATGTTTGATGAGGTCATCAACTCTAAAGCTTTTCTTCCAAATGGGTAAGAAACGTGAACAGAACATTCGTTAGGAATATTCATTTGACATGTGTTGTTAAATGAAGTGATCAAATCGCAAGTTTTTCTTCAAATTGAGCAAAACATGTGAACAGAACACTACTTAGATATAATCATTTATCATGTGATGTGAGGTGAGGTGATCAACGTGCAATGTTTTCTTCAAAGTGAGCAAAAGAGGTGAACAGAACAGTTTTGAGAAATATTCATATGTCATGTGTTGTTCGATGAGGTGATCAACTCCAAAGATTTTCTTCAAAGTGAGTAAAAGAGATGAACAGAATATTAATTAGAAGTATTCATTTGTCATGTGATGTTCGATGAGGTGATCAACTCCAAAGCTTTTCTTCAAAATGAGCAAAACAGGTGAACAGAACTTTATTCAGAAATATTGATTTGTCATATGGTGTTCAACGAGGTGATCAACTCGTAAGCTTTTCTTCCAAGTGAACAAAAGAGGTAAACAGAACAGTGATTAGAAATAGTCATTTGGCATGTGATGTTCAATGAGGTGATCAACTTACAATCTTTTGTTCAAAGTGAGCAGAAGAGGTGAACATGATATTGATTAGAAGTATTCATTTGTCATGTGGTGTTCAATGAGGTGATCAACTCGCAAGCTTTTCTTCAAAGTGAGCAAAAGAGATGAACAGAACAGTTATAA